GCTCCTGGGTTGAAGTATGTCCAGAGAAGAACCACCTAGAGATGGAAAAAGTCCATCCCATGGGGTGAAGCCCAGAACTGAGATGGAATACCTCTCCTGAGCAGAGGATGCATGGCTGAGATCCAAAGGCAGCGAGGTGCTAGGTGCTGGATTCTGTGCATAGTCCTAACTTCCAGTCTGGGTATCACAGAATCACAGAACGGCTTGGGTTGGAAAGGACCTTAAAGGCCATCAAATTCTGACCTCTGCTGTGGGCAGGGCTGCCTCCCACCAGCACAGGCTGCCCAGGGCCCCATCCAACCTGGCCTTGAGAGCCTCCAGGGGTGGAGCACCCACAGCTTCTCTGGGCAGCCAGTGCCAGTATCACATTGTATTCCTCCGGCCACATGTGCAAGGAGGGATGAGAGCAGTGACAATGTGATGCCTGTTTTAATCATGAAAAATCCACATTGTACCTCGCCTGTGAGCCACAAGGCAGCATCACAGTGATCCTTCCTGGTGAGCTGATGCAGGGGAGCAGAGCCTGGCAAAGCAGTGAGCAGAAGGCAAGAGAGGTGCTCAGCCATCAGGGAAATGTGTACGTGGATCTTCAGACAGTGAAAGGGACCTCAAGACAGGGCAACTTTTCTTTGCCAGCTCCAGAGCCCTCAGAAGACTTCTCCCCAGCTAATGAGCAGAAATATCATTTTGTTTCTGGTTTCAAGGAGGAGATGCAGCAGGCACTGCCTTGGTTGGTTTGGGCAATGAAGAATAAGCACTGCCTTGCACAGGCTTGGTTTAGGTTGGATTAAGCTTATAAACTACAGCAATGTCAATTCTGTTTCATGGGAAAGAAATCAAACTGGACGGAAACACCAAGCTTATCTTGATCAAAATGATTAGTAGTACAGTTGCACAAGCAATTAATTTGGTCAAGGTGTACTTAGGCATGGTGTATTAGTGGAGAGTCGGAACAAAAGCAGGGGCTGAATTGGGCCAGATTTGGAGTTCATGACTGAGAGTAAGTGTGATGGATAAGGAAGCTCTGTGTTGTGCAGCATCCTGGGACAGATCCAGGGTTGCATAAATCAAGGCTAGGGTCAAACCTGTGCGAGACAGAAACCTGCACTCCTCCTGCTGATGCCAGGCAGTGTGCAGAGGGTTTCACCCATTGCCTACAGAGCCCACTCTTCGAATAGAAGGTCAAAGACTCACAGCAAAGGTTTGAGCCATAAGGTAACCTTTCCTCTACCCCTGGCTAAGTGCATTAAATGTGGTGTTCAGCAGTAAGATATGTTTTTCACCTGTTTGTTTCCCCTTGTAGAAGAGGTTTCATTATTCCAAGCAGCAAAGTAGGTTCTTCTGCTTGGGTAAGTCAGAATGAAGTGAGACCCTCCTTTCAACCTCATGTGAGTTCAATCAAACCAAATGCTGTTTCAGAAGACCCAAATGATGCACTTAGCAGCACAGAGATCACACAACCCCATATATACATATATATATATTTCACTTTCAGGGATAAGAGATGTTTAAACACAGCAGTAAATGTTAATATTTTATTTTGCTGATTCTTCATCTCTGAAAATGAAAATGCTTGAACCACTTTTGCTCAAAATCTCTACACTAGCTTGGAGTTATGTTGTAGCTAATGCACAAAATTTCCTCTGGGAGAGGCAAAGGTGTTGCTATTAAGCACTGAAATTCCTCTTTTTTTAATAACACTGTATAATGCTAACTGTATCAGAGGTCAGTGAGCATCCTCTCTCTCAGCAATACTTAATATTGCACTGTTAAACTAGAAAAATAAATTTAAAAGGAAAAAAACCACCACCAACAACAAAAAACAACAGTGCTGCCCATCCACCATGCCCTGCAGATCCCCACATCTCTGCATCTGATTTCAGGAATTAAAGTTTGGAGATGTGTGTCTTCCCTTTAAGCAGAGGAAGGAGTGTGTCTAATGGGTAGGAACAGGGTCTCCCAGATAGCTGTGCTGCAGGTTTGCTTTAGGAGAAGTTGCTGACAGCCTAATTTTCAGATTTATGGAGCATTAAAGTTCCCATTGACTCCGTAACCAGGTGATGAATCTGTCTGTGCTTCATTTTTCTCAGCTAGAAAATGAGAAGAAATGGCATTTCTGTCACTGGCTAGCTGGGAGGTTAATGCAATGATTATTAATAAGGCTCTCTAATGACCTCTGGAGCAGCAATTCCCCAGCCTAGGGGCAGCTCCTAGCAGGGGCTGCAGTGCTGCTGAGCAGACCAACAGGCAAAGGAAGCAGAAGTAATTTTCCTAATGGGTCACTGGCAATCAGCAGTGGAGCCCAGGACAGGACTGTGGCTTCCCCATACACCTGGCCCATGTCACTCTGCACGGAAGGAGATGAGGTCTCCCTGGGGTTCTGCAGCCATGCTGACAGCAGGTATCACAGCTTCCAGTTGCACAGGTAAATGGAGCTGCAGGCATAAAAGGCACAAACTTATAATGAGCAGGATTTATATATCCAGAAGAGCAGAACCTACGCTGCTATTAAGGCTCACTCATCTATAGACACTACTTGTCTGCTCTTTCCTTTAGTGCCAGGCTCCTGCCTCATCCAACACATGGCTGTGCAGGACATGGCCAATGATCATCTTCAGAGGGTGGAGAATACTGTAAAAGGAGAGCAGCTTCCTACAGTTTACCAAAATTTATGTGATAGGACAAGGGAGAACTTGTCCTATCACATAAAAACTAAAAGAGGGGAGATTTTGATTAGATGTCAGGAGGAAAACTTTCACTGAGAGAGTGCTGAGGCCCTGGGACAGGCTACCCAGAGCTGTGGGTGTCCCATCCCTGGAGGTGTTCCATGCCAGGTTGGATGGAGCCCTGGGCAACCTTTTCTAGTTACTGACTTAGTGGTTGGCAACCAGGGAGTTGGTACTAGATTATCTTTGAGGTCCCTTCCAACTCAAGCCATTCTATGATTCTGTGATGGTCTTTATCCTGGTACAATGCACAGGTATCTCTAAGTAATAGCATCTAATCTTCCCCTAGGCTGCATGCATTGATTTTGGAACTGGTAATGCAAGGTAACCCAGGAAAGGGGAAAGAAAGGTCTCTGGTGGTTAGCAGAAGCCATAGGCTGCTCAGTGTTCATCAGGGAAGCACAGAGAATGTCTTTGCTGCCAGAGCCTCCAGGAACTCATAATGATTTCCTGAAGCTCAGTGTCGTAGAGTTGGCCTTCAGGCACTGCAGGTGCTCAGCTCCAGCCTGCGGACATAGGCAGTGTTGTGAAAGACAGTTACACCAAAGGAAAACAGCTCACCTTCAACAGCTTTCACCTGTGTCATGTTTTCCTCCCTGGGGCACAGCCACCAACAGTATCAAGAACTGCGTGGCCTTTCAATGACCAGACAGTATTTTGGAATGCATGAAGCATGCAGACATACTATTACCTTTATTATTGCTTGCTATGACTTTGTTTTTTTCCCTGGGTAACATAATAGTCCACTGCAGAAACTCATCCCCATAACTTCTGATTGCTCTGGAAGACAAGGAAGTGTTGTTTTCCTTTCTTTTAGCAAGAGGAAACGTAATGCATACAGACATCAACGGCCAGGCTCAAAGAAAGACATTTTATCACTCCTCTTTGGCTTCCACTGAAATTCATGGGGACTCGTGTGTCTCGGTGTCTTTGTGGAGTTAGTCCTGCCACTTGCCAGCCAGAAGGCTACTTATACTAGTAGGGTGCAGAATCTTTGGCTCAAAACAAAACAAGACCCCTCAAATTCCCCAAGAAAGGAAACTTCAATAGCAGCAACAAAGAGTTAATTCATGTAATGGCAGATGTCAGCCTGTAAAGGTGAGACTGCTGACCCAGATTGCGAAGAGAAGCAGCTTTGACTTCTCTGGCTCAGAACTGTCAGTCTGTTTCGATTATTGTTTTGTGTTTGTTTTTTTTTTAATCAACATTAGCAGTAAATACAAAGGCAAATGCCCGATTGTATTCTAGAGGTCAGCAGCAGTGCTCCACAGCTGTCCTTGCACATCAGGATCCCTGGAGCTGCGTTTGCACTCTTTTTGTGAGATGCAGGCTCCATGGCACACGCCAGATAGCTGACCACCACTGCCTACCCACAGCCACCATTTTCTCCCAGACCAGTTTTACCAGTGGTTTTGCAGTGCACTGAAGGTACACTTCACTGCCTGCGCCAGGAGGAGTGCGGCAGAACTCAGCTCTATGGGCATTTCTCCATACTTTGTTATGGGATTACCAACCTTGGGGAATGCCCTAGAGTTTCACCAGGTGTTTCAAAATCTCTTTAACCCTAGAGAGCTGATGGCGGGCAATGCAATGAGTCAACGCAAAGCAGGCTATGTGATTCTGTAGGCTGTTTGAAAAGAAGCAACTGTTTTTTTTTTTTACAGTACAAGTAGTGAGGCAGCGGCACCAAAGAGGTGGTGGTTCCCCATCCCTGCAGACACCAAGGTCAGGCTGGATGGGCTGCGAGCACTGATGGAGCTGCGGGTGTCCCCGCACAGTGCAGGCAATAACAGATGGCTTTAAGGTCCAACTCAGACTGTGCTATGACCGTACGCTCAGGAGCAGACGGTTGCTGTTTGATGGAGCCCTCTGCCCTCAGCACGGCTCACAACACCCTTAGCCTAGATAGAAAGTGTCTCTGGGGGCAGCGGCTCCCCGCAGGGCAACCAACACATCCCTGGGGGTGCCGTGCGCACTGATGGCCGGGACGCGGAGCTACGGACCGAAGGGAGAGGCAGAAGGGGAAGCCAAGAGACCCGTGGCAAACTGAGGCCGCCCTCCCTACGCGTGCTTACAGAGGGACTTGTGAAACTCCGCTCGAAACCGCAGCCCGTTTGGGACCCTCACAAAACCACCCCCGGGCCTCGCTCCGCCGCCCCGCCCTGAGGGGAGGAGCCCCGCCGCGGGCTGCGCATGCGCGGCGGCGGTGTCCGCCTGTCAATAAAGATTGAACAAGCGCCGGGCCGGGGGCGCGCGGGCGGGCGCGTTTTGTTGGTTTTTTTTTTTTTTTTTTTTCTTCTTCTCCTTCCTCTTCGAACAAACTTTATTGTTCCGGCGGCGCCGCGCGCACGCGATGCGCTGAGGCCGCCGCGCTCGGCCCCGCTCCGCCCGGCCTCGGCATGTCGGGCAGCCGCCCGCCGCCGCACCCCGCCGCGCCGCCCGCCGCCCCGGCCTCCTCCTCCTCCTCTTCCTCTTCTTCTTCTTCCTCCTCCTCCGCGGCCATGGCGCCCGGCTCGTCCTCCTCGGGCGGCGCGGCGGCGCGGCCCGTGCTGGTGGCGGCCGCCGTGTCGGGCTCGGGCGCAGCGGCGGCGGCGGGCGCGGGGCTGGCCCGGCTGGCGGCGGCGGCGCGGCCCGGCGGCGGCGGCGGCTCGTCTGGTGGCGGCGGGGCGGGAGGAGGGGGCAGGAAGAGGCCGCTGCTCACCCCGCTCTGCAACGGGCTGCTCAACTCCTACGAGGACAAGAGCAACGACTTCGTGTGGTGAGTGCGGGGATGGAGGGGGAGCGAGGCCTCCCGAGGCGGCCCTCGGCCCTTCCCGCGGTCTCCCCTTCTCTCACGGAGGGCTCCCGCTGTTCCGTTGCCGCTCCTCAGCTGGAGGATCCTGCGGCCGGTCCCGTGGCTCGGTTGCTCGCTCCTTTGGCAGCTGCACGGGGGCTGTAAGGAGCGCTTCAGAAATCCCTCCGTTAAGGGCCTGGAGCATCTCCCTGGTGAGGGAAAGTTGAGCTCGTGGCCGTTTATCCCTGCGACTTGGATGGGGATCTTTTGGTGCTGCCCTGCCACGGAACGGAGGGACGGTGGGCAGGAGTTGCATGATAGGGAGTTTCGTACTAAAGTGAGTTAGAAGTTCTTTGGGTTCTTCTAGATCTAAATATCTAAGGTGCGGTATGCACCGCGCTCTTCTCACTGCTGTGTGGTGACAGGACAAGGAGAAACGACCACACACTGGAGCGTAGGAAGTTCCACACAAGTGTAAGTAAGGGCTTCATCACGGGAAGGGTGACAGAGCACTGGAACGGGCTGCCCAGGGAGGTTGTGGAGTCTCCTGTGGAGACACGCATCCACCTGGGTCTTTAGTACCTGTGCAACCTGGTCTAGAGAGCATGCTTTGGCAGAGGGTTGGACCAGATGGTCTCTAGAGTTCCCTTCCAGCCCCCACAGTCCTGTATTTCTTTACTGTGCAGGTGGCAGAGCAATGGAACAGGCTGCCCGGAGTGGTGGTGGAGTTCCCTTCTCTGGGGATATTCAAGGCCACTTGAGCACTGTGTGACCTATTGTAGGGAATCTGTTTTAGTAGAGGTCCCTTCCAACCAACCCCTATGATTTTGTGTCCCCTTGGCCATCGCTTTTATTATTTTGGGGCATTGATCACTGTAAATACAGCAAAAGTGGTGTGGGCCTTCCTCTGTTAGTTGGAGGTAAGTGTTTGTGGGAGTCCAGCACCTAAACCCAGATGAGCAGAGAACTTCTGTGATGATGAGAAACATTTTCTTCCTTAATCCTCTACATATGTCGTCCTTCTAATGTTCAGAATTTCTGCAGTGATGAGAAAAGCTTTCTTCCTTGAACCTTCCCACGTCATCCTTCTGATGTTCAGCCAGGGCTGCTGCTTGTAGCTGAAAATACCCATCCAACAGATGTGGAAGACCAAGGCCCAATGCAATGTCTGCTGTGGGAGCTGGTGGTAATTCTCAGTTTAAAGACAGCTTGCTGGTAATGGGTTTCAAATCTTCAAACATCAGGAGGAGGTTTGGCGTTTATGGCTGCGTGGATGTACTAAAATGTGAGAACAGAAAGGTCGGGTGAGTGCTCTCAGCTGATGGTGATAAGAGAGTGGAAACAAGCGTGAGCTGCAGGAAAGTCATCAGCTGGAAGTACAAGAGGAGAGAGAAAAAGTGGACTGCAGCTGCCAAGGTGGTCCTGTGTGATTGCTGATTTACAGGGGAGGATTGGATGTTTGTGTCTGCTGGACAAGTGTCATAGCAAAACCCCGTGGACTTGATCCTAAAGTGGTCTGTCAGAGTAGATGGGAAGTGTCCTTGTTACTTAAGTGAAGCTGCTGTGAAGTTGGTGGCAGAAAAAACAGCAACTACTTCCTGCTAGTAATAGAAGTAATTTCTGGTCATTGCCTGTTGCTGTAGGTTTGCTCTGTAGTGGAATTGGGGTGAGCAGACAGCTGCAATTGACTGGTGTGCTCTGTCTGAGCAGTGGGCCACGTGAAGTGGGCTTAAGGGCCCTTGTTTGGGGAAATAGCTGCTTTGCTACTTTTTTTCTGGTTATAGTAAGTGATGTGATGGTGAATGCCCTTGTATATTCATTATGCTCTGGCCTGCAGCCATCGCTTCCCATCCCTGTCCAGTCAGTTTATGCTTTGTTGTGAGCCATAGGAATAAGGTTGCTGAAAGCAAGGGACATCAAGACCTTACCATTATGTTTATAGGACA